CCTCGGGCCCGTCCGCGTCGGTGTCCACGCAGGCGAAGAGCACGTCCAGCGTCCCCGCGACCCCCCCTTCGACCTGCCAGAAGCAGCAGAGGAGGTTGAGGTAGAGCGGCAGGAGGACCGCGTCCGTCGGCCGCCGGGCCATCAGCGCCGCCACGCAGTCCGGGCGGTAGGAAGGGGTCGCGAGGGCCGCGGCGAGGTGCGAGAGCGCGAAGGCCGCGACCTCCCAGGCCTGGAAGGTCGGGCTGGCGTGGCTCACGAAGCCGCCGGGGGTCCGCGCGTCGTGCGGGGTCCCGGCGGGGTCCCGCAGGCCCTGCAGGAGGTGCAGGATGAACTGGTTCGCCAGCCCCGGGGCGACCCGCGCCAGCCGGTCCAGCAGCTTCGCCGACAGGTTCCGCAGCTCCGAGAAGGCCCGCTCGTAGGCCCCGATGAAGCCCAACTGCTCCCGCGATAGCGCCACGCCTTCGTCGTGGGTGCCCTTTTCGGGGTGGAACTGATTTTTCACCACCAGCCCGTGGAGGGAGGCGAAGACGTCCACGGGGTTGATCGCCGCGAGCGCGGAGTCGTCCATCCGAAGGAAGATCCCACACACCTGACTCGCAAAGAGAATGCTCGGAATGCGAAGCACGCCGACCAGGGACTGGCAAATCCCCGCGGCGGTGCTCTGGAGGAAGTCCTTCGGCAGCTCCGTCAGGAGGTTCAAGACCTCCCCGACCACGTCGATCTCGCGCGCGTCCACGGAGACGTGGAGCGCGCGAAGGACGTCCTCGAGGAGGGTAGACAGCACCCGCGTCGTCGACTCCTCCGCGAGGGATACATCGACAGCGCGCAGGAGTTCAGTCGCCGCCTCGACCGCCAGGCGCCGCGCGGGCCGCCATTCTAAAAGCGCCGTCATCGTCTGCCCCACCCCCGCCGCGGACCACACCGCGAAGTCGAGCAGAGGCGTCAGGGCCGCGAGAACCCCCAGCCCCCACTCCAGCACGAGATCCGACGGACTCGCCAAGACCCCGGCGAAATCGCCCCCCCCGCCGTCGAATAAATCGAAAAGAGGGTTTGATTCATCGCCGCGAGGAGGGCGGGGCCGCGCTCGCGGAGAAGACCCCGCAGCACCCCAACTCGCGCCCGCGGCACCCACTGGAGATCCGGCCCCACCCCTTTGAGGACGATCCCGTGGATTAAACGCATCCGACGAGGCTCCTGCGAAAGATCATTCGACGCGAGAAGGCGATCCAAAAGCCGCGAAAACTCCCCATCGGGAAGGCGAAACGCGCAGGTCAACAAAAGCTCCTCCAAGTCCGCGCAGAGCAGGTTATTTAACCCGGCATCGGTCGCATACCAACGGAGAAGTTCCCAAAAGGGCAATTTGTGAACGCGAATGCCGTGGATACGAAGGGCTTTCTTGAGCAAAACCGCGCCGTAGGCCTGCAAAACCGCGAGATCGGCCGCACCGGAAAGCAAAGAAATCCCGATCTGGACGAGCTCCTCACCCTGCAAATTCAGCTCGAGCTGCTCAAGCTGAAGGGTAAATTGGCGTCGGGTATCGTTGTCGTGGCTTTGGTAAATCCCCTTTAGGGTATTCACAATCCCCGAAAGCGTATCGGACATGATGAGAGACCAAGATGAAAAGATTTTCTATATGAATCTATAAAAATATCGGCATAGATAAGGCGACTCTCATAAAGAATGATGATGGATAAAAATAAAGAGTAAAGAGCAGTCAAAACACAGATTCTATAAACACTCATACTTATAAATATATATATATTTATTTATTTATTTATATATTCCACATGTTCATGAAAGAATAGTATTTAGGAATCACCATAAATCGTAACTACATGAAAAGCCTTCGACCATGGGGTTCTTCCTTTTTGAATGACCACGCTTTATCCCATTCACCATCACTGTCTCCGAGGAAATAAAAGTACAGGCGTAAAATTTTGCGTCGTAAAAGATCGCATGATTTTAACGTGTTAAGTTAAACGTACTATGCGTTGAGTTGGAATGAATAAAAGAAGTTCGTGATAACTAGGAAGGATTAAAGCTCGTGATAGGAAAAAGATCATAAAAATTAAACTCGCAGAACCACCTCCTTTCAAGAGCCGAGCCTATCGCCGTGATAAAATTCATATTGATAGGATGTCTTCTACAACTTTGAGAAAGACACACCTGAGGTTTTGAAGCAGAAGAAGTTTGCACATTTGATAATGAAATTATAATCGCGTCTAAAAGAGCCTGTGGAACGAGTGAGTGGCTTCCCTTTTCAATCTTCATTGCAAAAAGCAATCTTTATTGATAAAAAGACTCTAAATTATGACCATGTTGAGGGGTATGTTGATCCCTATAGGCACGCTCAGCAGGTGGTAAAGATACTAACGTGGCTTGGCATTGCAGGTGAAGGGCTTCTAGAATCTTCGCTATGAATTTGGCGTCTATATAACGATTCATCTCGGTTAAATAATGCCAATGAAGTATGGTGGGGTGGCGTCATAGCCACAAAGATATTCAGGCTACGTGAGAAAAAACATAAGGGGATAAAAATACGGATACAAAACGATACATAGATTTAATGTTAGCAATATGAATTCGCCTCCTATTGGGGGCACTGTTGTTGGAATAAAATGTCTCATTTTTTTTTCGTGTATGTGTCTAAATACTGTGTACTTACAATGAACGGACTTTTTTGAAGTGGGGCTCAAAGAAAAAAAAGGTGAGTCGCGTATGAATTTCTAGCGGAAAGAGAATCAGTAATACAAACCTAAAAAAATAAATACCAATAACTAACAGTGCAAATTACGAAAAAAAAAATCTATCACGCGACAAGTTTACTATTAAGAAATATAATCGTAGAAAATTTAAAGAAAAAGCAGGGGATTGTCACCTCCTTCCTGATGTTTTTGCAGGTAGTGTTCTGATACGTGGCCCGGCATTATAACTTGGGACCTGCGTATTATCGATGCGCACGTGAAAAGGCATCCGCGGGGCGGAATCATTTGCTGCCTTTGGAGGACCATACTCACAGGTGGACGGGGCATAACAACGATGATAAAAGTTTCGCTCGTTATCCACCCGGTGGACGGGGCAAACCCCGGACGAGGCTAAAGAAGGGCCCGAGGCGGGGCCTCGCTCCGCACGACGCGGCCCTTCCACCGGAGAGACCGTCGCCGGAGGAGGCCCCTCGATGGTGGTGCTTGACTTCCCCAATTCCTTTCCCAGAATCTCCTCGATGACCGCGATATCGTGATCACTCTTCTCCCCACGCAGAACCTGAAAGGCTTCCCGATTCAACGCGCTCACCCCACGAAGGAAGGACTCGCGAAGTTTGCCATCTAATTCCGCATTTCGGTGCTTTTCCGCCTCCAGCTCCCGCGTGAGATCCTCCATTTTTTGGGTGAGCGCCTTCTCGTGCGTGGTCCACTTCTTCTTTTGTCGTGCCTGCTGCTGCTGAACGCGACGGCGGAGGGCTAAAAACCGCCAACGCTGAAAACAACGCGAGGCGGCCAATTGGGAGGAATATAAACGAAACTGCGCGAGCTGTTCGAGCCTGACTTGTCGATCCCTCCGAATCTCAAGCCAGCGGTGGAAAAAGCAGTGTAGAATCCCAACCTTCCGTAAGTTGCCCATCCCATTGGCCGTCTGGGCGAGCGTTTGTTGAACCATCGAAAGCTTAGCCAAGACCTTTTCCCGGGCCCGATCGTGGCCCTCGCGTTCGCGCTGGGCCTTCTCCGCCTCGCCGGCGATTTCCTGCCGGAGTTGGGCCTCCATCTGGGCCTCCCGCGATTGGAGGTAGGCCTCGATCATCGCGGAAGTCTGCGCGGCGCCGAGGCGGCCGTGGTCCTCCATCGCCGCGCGCACCTCCGCGACGAAGGCGCCATCACCGGTCGACCGCAGCAGAGACATCCGCGCCCGCGTAGGAAAGCCGTCCGCCGCGCTGTCGGGGTGTGGTGCGGTGGATCTATGTTCTAGTGGGGTATCGGCGCGTGAACTGTGCGGAAATATCTATCTCTATCCGTCCATACAGAGAAATATTAGCCATATAGATAGATAGATATGGAGATAGATGGATAGAAGAGAAAAGGAAATGGGAAAATGGGAAAAAAAGACGGTGTAAATAAATTGAATGGAAAATGAAAAGCAAAAATGTCGTGTGTGGGTGTGTGGGTGGGGGAAGGGACCTGCTTAAACACAATGCATCATGTTAATAGCAAACAGTTGTTTGTTATTTGGCAAAAAATAGAATCCTAACTATTGGCATTCGCCTCCTCACAATCTAAATTTCATGCTCTACCAATCACAATTACCGCAGTTGATTGCATACTTTACACGCACATATGCTAGGTGTGTTTCTATTAATTCAAACGGAAGAGACACCAGCGTAAGGGAAAATGAATGAATACGGCGTTCTCTTTGAATCCACCATAGACGATTCCCATCCGCAGCATGGAATCCAGTAGAAATGAAATTTTAGAAAGGACCTGAAGGAAATGTACAGCAGCAGGAGCATGGGGTCTCAAGGAAATCCGTCTTTGCTCTTAAAACCGAAAACAAAAGTATCTATATCTCGAAAAGATGCATAGATATGAGTGAGATTATGCTTTATACGATAAGAAAAGATCCTTTGGTGCCTTGCGATATTGCCATTGGCCGCTAACATAAACCACAAGACGACCTCCCTATTATTACTTTAACACACTCTACTGTCATGGACGATGATTTTTTATCAAAATGCCTACAATTGAGGCAAAATAAAATTCTGGAACGTATCAAAAAACGTAAAATGACAAATGAAAGTGATTGTGGATTCGGGTTGTGTAAAAAATAAAAAAGCCGCAATATACCCTTCATTGGGGAGAAAAGGAGGGGGATTCCAATACTTTGAAGAGCAAAAAAAGAAACGTTTAAAAATGGAAAAGAAAGAGATATGGATAAACCATATTACTGTTACTTCTCATCCATGTAACCAAGGTGGAAGCTGATTTTCGGGAAAAAAATAGAAGCTAAATAATAGAAAACGACAACACCCCCCTTTTTATACCAGGTCTTTTTGCATTGTTGATCCCATTTTAGGAAGATTCCTAAGTGTAATCGCAACACATACTAAGAATAAATTTATTGAAGGAATATTTTCAATGTACTGCTAAAATGAAAAACTAATTCTAACGATAGATAACTATATAACTATATATATATATATACATATATAGTTATATATTATTGTTATGCCCCAAATATTCTCATACAGGATGGATTTGTTTAAGAAATCATCGGCTCTTCCGAACTGCTAGTTTTCCCCTCCTGAATCTGCGCGATTTGGTGGGGATCGAGAGCGGTGCTGTTCGTGCGAATAAGCTCCTGTCGTCGACGTAGCTCGGCATAATCCTCAGAGGCTAATTGCGAGCGAAGGGCCGGATTTCGAGAAATACCCTCATGATAAACCATGTCCTGATGAAGAAGCCCCGTTCCGTAGATATATGTCGGCTTCGTGGGGTCGATTAGATTGGCATCCAGCGCGTTAATCGCGCGGTCAAGCTCCCGCCGATCTACAAAGTGCACCATCTTCTCCCGCACCTTTGTAAGTTCTTTCAAAAGCGTCGTCTTTTGCGCGGAATCACCCGGCAGGAGGATCTGGCAAAGCCGCCGAAGCGCGTCGTTGATCAGACACTGCCCGCGCTGAGGGATGGCGAGGGCGCATTGCGTGTAAATGTACAAAAAGGCCGGCTCGAAGAGATCCCACAGCTTCTGCACCTCCGCCGGATCCTTCGGATACACGCGGAAGGCGAAGTAAAGATGAGTCCAAAAGAGATACGCATCGGAGCCCTCCCGTTCCTTTGCTCGCCAGCGGAGGACTTTCCGCCGGAAGACCTCCTCCGCGACGTCGTTAGTGGTGGCGAAGTACTTTTCCAACTCGGGCATCGTCCCCCCTCCGCGCGCGCGAATCGACATGTTCTTCATCAACATCTCATTCGAGGGCTGCCATCCCAAGCGCCGGATCCCTTCGCGCGTGATGAGCTCCCCGTAGGCGGGCAGGTTCGCCTGGACGAGGGCCACCCGAAAAGGCAAATCGCTAAACGGCTCCACCCAGTGCAGACGCCCCATTTCGCGAAAAAGCCGCTCGACGACCTCCTCCAGCGCCTGCAAATGCCCCTCCACGGCCTTCCCCGGCTCATACCCGCGCAGGAGATACTTTGCCTGGGTGAGCAAAGGGGCCCGCCAGGACGCCGGCAGCCGCTCCTGTGCGGTTCGCATCGCCACATGATAAAAATTCAGACACTTCTCGCGGTAGGCGCGGCCCGTCTGAAAGCGCCCCTGACGGGTCATAAACTCGCTATGCTCCCAGTAAAGATCCCCCATATGGCGAAGCCACAAATGCTCCGCCGTTTCCTGGGTGAGCGGGGCCCCTTCCAAAAAAACCCGCGCGCGCTCGGGAAAAGGGTGAATGGAGGGGTGGGTTTTTTTATTCATGCTTTCCAAACAGCGATCGGAGACGTCCAGGGCGACGCTTAGCCGGCCTCGTCGCTCGTTAAACCACATATACTCGGTCTCATCTATCACCGGGTACCACCGCCGGGTGCTCCCGCTATGCCAAATCCCCTCGGCCTTGTCGAAATTCCCGCTCAATTCCGCAAAAACGGCGCTCTCGCCGTCGAGAAACTCCTTCTCCTCGTATTGACAAGGCGGATCGGCGTCCGGGATGGGGATTTGCACGACGCCCTGGCCCATCTTCGCGTAGTTCGTGAACCACTCGATGGAGTCCTCGAAGTGCGACTCCGCGCGCGAGCGAAGTCGGGTGTCCGCGAAGGCGATAAACATCCGAAAAAGCTGCTTGCCGGCGTAAAAGGCGATGGCGCCGCGGCACCATAAAAAGACCGCCTCCACGGCGGCATCCCGTGAGGCGTCGGAGAGCCCCTCCACCCGGGCCGGACACTGCAGCTTCGCGTCGTTCACGTGCTTGGTTAGGAACTCCCGATGCGTCTCCAGCTGGTCCATGCTCTGGAAGCCCATGTGGATAAACTCCTGGAGCTCGTTCTGGACCCACCGCATAAACGGTTTCGCCAAGGGCTCGTATTTCTTGTCTTTTAGCATGAGCGCGTACCGTTGGATGGGGTTTTTGCGAACGTTGTCGAGCTCCAGAGAGGTCATCTCCTGAACGAAATTCATAAAGTTCCGCCCGAGGAGCTTACACTTCGCAGACACTTTTTTTAGCATCGCATCGGCCTCGGACTTGACTATGTTCGCCTCTGAAAGGCGGTTTCCTCGGATTCGGTAAAAGTCCGCCAGGAAATGCTTCGTGTGAGCTTCAAAAATCAATGAAAAGATCTCTTTCGCCTCCGGTGGAATCTCCGGATGACCTTCAATCCGCCCGCTTCGGAATCGCTCCATTGTATCGAAAAGCATCTGCTCACAGCGATCCTCGGTGGTAACCTGGGTAAGATTCCCAAACTCCATAATTGCCTGTTGGAAGGCGCCGCGATAAGCAAACCAGGTTTTTTCCAAGTCTTCCTTGTTAAACTCCACCGCATCCTCCTCCTCCACCCCACGGTAGGGGTCCACGATCGAATCCGTCTCCCATGGCAACGTCGGCAGCAGAATATCCGGATCGTACTGCAGCTTCGCCTTTCGAAGCCGTTCCTTGCGCTCCTGTCGGAGCTTTTCCGATCTTTTCAAGTCTTTTTTGCCTTTTCCAGCGCTCGCTGCCTTTGCATCGTCGGAAGCAACCTTCTGAGGGCAATCCATAGCTACCTCGTGAAATAACGGAAGGGATTTATAGCCCTCGACGAGCTCAGGGAGAGATTGGAGCCGGTACAACTTGTACTCATCAAAGGCAGAGACACCAATAATCGCGTCGTCGTTCGTGATGCGATCCTCTAAGTGTAGAGGGGGCTGTTTGTAGTACGCCACCTTCGTCTCTTTCATTTCTAAAGGATCATTCACCATCCCATACGACTTAATAAGAGGATCGGTCTCGACGAGGGACGTTCTGTACCACTCCGGCATAGCTTCCAGGTCCTCGCTTTCCGGGGTACGGTAAAGATCCTCCGCGACATTAGGCTCCACATTTTCAGGGCGACGAGGGATTTCAATGAAGCCCGCTTCCGTTGGCGAAAACACCTCCTTTGCTGCCGAAGTGTTCGCATTCAGTGGCGATTTGGAATCGGATAAAAGTTTCTCCTCCTCCACTACCCCATCTTCTAGTTTTCCGATTAGATTGGTGAGACTCGAGATACTACGAGAAGGTACGCCGCCCTCCTCGAGCCCGCTCCGGCGCGCCTCTTCGTTCAACATTTTCACTTCCTCCATCCTTGCCTCGATTCTCGCTCGAAGCATGGGCTGATCGTTATGCTGTCTAGACGTACGGAGTCCACTTTTCATCATCGTCAGAGTGGGATCACGACCGGACAGACGCGCAATCTCCGAGCCCTGCTCGAGAACCTCTTGCTGGAGGTTCGCTTCGAAGGCGAGCGCGGCCCCCTGCTCAACTGTCAGCCCGCTCGCCAGAGGTTCCATTTCCGCCCTGGGAAAGCCCGAAATCGGGTCAAGCCTCGCCGGATCAATCGGCTTTCCCGATTCCAACGCGATTTTCGCGCCGTAGGCGTTCAACTTCAGCTTCGTCTTGGCGACCTCCAAGGGGTCCGCGGTCCCGGAGAGCGCCTGGTAGGTCTGTTCGGGGTCGAAGTCAATCACACCGGCGGCCATGCCGTGGAAGACGTCCCCGAGCTCCCCCTGCCGTTGCTCCTCCTCCGCGAGCAAAACCTGCTCGCTCTGCATGCCCTGATGAATGACCTTTCGCTCCTCCCCCTCGATCATCCACATCCGATCGCGATAGCGGACGTCCGCGAGGTGCTTCCACGAGGTGTCCGACCACCGCTGGTCGGAGGGCAACACCCGCCGCCGCCCCTGCACGTCGTAGTGGTCGAGGTAATCCGTAAACCCCTGCGGCCAGATCAGGCGATCCTTCTGGGCCTTAAAGAGGCGATCTTTCCAGTGCAAGTACCACTCCCGCTCGCGCTCGATGGGGTCTTGGACGTAGAGCTCAAATCGGTCTCGAATCTCCTGCAGGATCTCCTCCGGGGTTGGGATAAAGAACTTCCGCCAGCGCACCTCCCACGGGAGCCCGTCCACGTCCTGCTGGGCCTGCAGCATCC